TTTGATGTGTGTCTGTATGCGGTTTGCAAGTATTTTATTGAGAATTTTTAAATTTATTTTTATTTAATGTGTATGAGGGTTTTGCCTCCATGTAAGTACACCTATGCATGCAATGCCTGCAGAGGCCAGACGAGGTCATCGGATCCTCTGGAACTGGAATTGTGGACAGTTGTTAGCCACTATGTTCTCTCCAAGAGTAGCCAGTGCTCTCAGCCACTGAGCCATCTCTCCGGTCCCTATTACCATTATTATTATTGTGTATATGTGTGTGTATATGCATGGATGTGTGCATGCTCAGGAGTACATGCATGCCACAGCAGGTACCAGTGTTGTCAGAATTTTGGCGTGGAATTTTTGGCGTCCCTTAGATATATTATCATATCATCTGCAAAAAGAACAATTTTCTTTTTATTTTTGTCTTTTTGAGACAGGGTCTCCCTGTAGCCCCAGCTGTCCTGGAACTCAGTATGTAGACCAGGCTGGCCTCAAACTCATAAAGATCCATCTGCCTCTGCCTTCCAAGTGCTGGGATTAAAGGAGTGCACCACCACGCCTGGCAGAGGACAACTTTCAAGAGTCAATCCTCTCCTACCTTGTTGAGGCAGTGTCCCTTGCTTTTGCTATACTCCTTACTCCAGGCTAGCTGGCCCTTGAGTTCATGGGGATTCTCCCGTTTCTGATTCCTATTTCACTGTAGGAGTGCTGGGATTACAGGTGTGTACCACCACATCCAGCCTTTTTAGGTGGGTTCCAGGGATCAAGCTCAGGTCATCAGGCATGCAAGGCAAGAGCTTTTATCCACTGAACCATCTTTCTAGTTCCTCTTCTATTTTTTCCTTCAAGAAAATGCTTTGGTTTCTGGTCTTTTCAAGTTTTGGAAGCCAGACAGGTTGCCACTGCATTGGAGAAAGTCTCATTTTCATCTTGGAATATATCTATATATAGATTATTTGTTTATGGTGGCTGATTGTGAGCTACGTGGTGAGCAGCTCTGTTCTCCTAAACTGTAGTGTCTCTGCAGCAACTGAAGCCCATCCTCTGTCTGCAGAAGACAGAACACATCTACTAGGCCACTTCATGAGGGCAATGATGTTCTTAACTAGTGAACAGCAAGTCTCCAGGGGGTGAGTTTTAGAAGGGAAGTCCACCATGGGCATTTGATTTAGCTGTGGAGTCACTGGTTTCATTCTTCAGCTTCAGCTGCCTGCTCTGTCCTGTTTCTAGGAATTCTCAAAGTCCTTTTCCTGATTGCTATTTTAATCACTATTCCATCCCTATAACAAATATGTGAGATAATCAGCTTACAAAGAGAAAAGGTTTCTTTTGGCCCCATTGCTTTTGGACCTGTGACAAGGCAACACATGGTGGTGGAGCACATGGCAGAGCAATATTTTTCACTTCATGGATGGAAGGAAAAACACAGAGCGAGGTGGGCAGAGTTTCTAATCCCACAATTCCTTTCAAGGATATGGCCCCAATCACCTAAAGACCTCTCATCAGGACCCATCTCTTGGAGTTGTCACTGCCTCCCAATAACACTAGGTTAGGGACTAAGCCTTTTACATATGAGCCTTTGGGGAACATTCAAGATTAAAACTGTCATACTGGATCTAACCTAAGCTCAGTTACCCTGACTCTGAAGAAACCTGTTCTTTCTTCTGGCTTCTCTACCTTCACAGGAATTATAATACATTAGGGAAAACTCACAGGCTCCAGAAATAGGCTAGCTGGGGTTGAATCTCAGTTCTACCACTTCTTAGCTCTATGACCTTGGACAAGTACCTTAATCCCTCTGTACTTCATTTTCCTTATTTGCAAAATGATGATAAGAATATGATGCCTCTTCTGGCGTTGTTGTGGGTCTTGAGTTCATATGTGTAAACTGTGAAATATAGTACTTGTCATTATTATTATTATTTTGTGGTGCTGGGATTGAACCCAGGCTTTGAGCACACTAAGCATGTATTCTACCACAGCTCTAGCCCTTGTCTCCAAATTGTTCCTATTAACTGTGATTTCCTTCCCAGTTCTAACTAGGTCTTTGGTACTCAATACATCTTTATTGGATATACACATCTAAACTATTTTCCTTTTTCTTTGATTGCCTTTGATAAATTTCCTCTCCAGTCTCACTCCTTAAAGGCCAGGAACATACATGATACAATACACAGCATCTGGTTAATTTCTGTTCATTGCTAGGGAACCAGGGATATGGCTCTTTGGGAATTATAGCAATGCCTCATTTTTCTTTTTCTTTCTTTCTTTCTTCTTTCTTTCTTTCTTTCTTTCTTTCTTTCTCTCTCTTTCTTTCTTTCTCTTTCTTTCCTTTCTTTCTTTCTTTCTTTCTTTCTTTCTTTCTTTCTTTCTTTCTTTCTTTCTTTCTTTCTTTTTCTTTTTTTTTCTTTTTGAGGCAGGGTCTCCCTGTAGCTGCAGCTGGCCTGGATTCTCTATGGAGACCAGGCTGGCCTCTAACTCACAGAGATCTGCCTCTGCCTCCCCAGTGCTGGGTTTAAAGGTGTGTACCACCATGCCCAGCTTCATTTTTCTTTTTTAATGTTTTTTTTGAGACAGGATCTCACTGTATAACTATGGCAGGCCTGGAATTCTCTCTGTAGACCAGGCTGGCCTCAAATTCACAGAGATCTGCCTTCTGAGTGCTGGGATTAAAGGCATGAATCACTATGCCCAGCCCTCATGCTCCATTTTTCTAGATCCCCCACCAGTGTTGTCTCTAATGAGAGAGAGGGGGGAGGTTTGATCCCCAGCACCGCATAAATGTGATGGGGTAGTGCATGTCTGTAATTACAGCACGTGGGAGGAGGCGGGAGGATCATAGGTTCAAGATCATCCTGGGCTACATAGGGAGTTAAGGCTAGCCTGGACTAAATGAGACCCTATCTCAAAAGCAACCAACCAACCAACCAGCCAACCAACAAATAGATGTTTAGATGATGTCCAGAAGTGGAGGACTCTGTGAGTGCAGTCACTGAGGAAAGTGGTTTTAGTACCACTCCTACAGCTTCCAGAGTGAAAGATTGTTTTCCTTTGCTTTACTAGCTAGCTAAGGTTTCTGTTGTGAGACAGTAAAATGCTGGCTCAGACACCCACTGCCAAAGGGGTGGTGAGGACACTGAAGTAGTGAGGGTGGCTGGCCATACCTCGTTGTTTATCTGGGTTTGAACAACCTCACTTGATGAATGGGCTTAACCAGTGCAAGAAGCAAGGTCCACTTCATCTCCATCCTTCTTTGCTTGTAATGAGCCAATTAGTGTTAATTGTGTTGGCAATTTGGAACAGCCATCAGGGAATCAATCCAAGGCAATTGTGGGATCATCCCTCTGTCCCATCCTACTTCCGCCCTTACTCATAGTGGATGGGATCAGAGTAGTAGGAACTGTCCTTTGCCCAGAAAAAGTAAATATGGATTTCCCGTCTCACATATCCAGTAATCTGGATGCCAGTTTTTAACTTTGCCTATGCAGTGGCCTGACAATACATCTCTGCCATGGAGAGAGACACAAGTATGGATGGATCAGGGCTAGTTGCAAGGGATAAGTTTTAAAACAGGAGTGTTTAAAGCCTTCTCTCTAACCTTCCTGGCAGGCCAAAGGCTATCTCTCTCATTTATAGCCCAATTTCCTATCCCCACCTGAGGCAGCTAAATCAATCTATTTAGTAAGGAAGGAGGAGGCCTGGGAGCAAAGAAGGCTGTAGAATGTCAGATAACAGGGGAGAGAAAAAGGGATTATGAGTTTTATTGCTAAAGTTATTAATTTGATCACTTTTTTTTTTGCCTTTTTTGAGACAGGGTCTCCCTGTAGCCCCTGGCCACAGTGTCCTGGAACTCACTATGTAGACCAGGCTGGCCTCGAACTCAAAGTTCCTCCTGCCTCTGCCTCCCAAGTGCTGGGATTAAAGGTATGCGCCACCACACCCGGCAGTTTGATCACTTTTAATATCATTGGAGAGTCATTAGTAGGGATGGAATTTACATTATTCACTTATTTTGTATAATGGACTGCTCATCTTTCAACATAACATGACTGAAGTCAATGTGCACCACTTGCTTCACCAGGGTTAAACAAGCAACCGAAATCGGATGAAGAATCTAGCTATAGAACTGTTGGGAGCAGGGCTGGGAGGAAGAATGATTTTTTTTTTTTTTTTTTTGGTCTTTTTGAGACAGGGTCTCTCTGTAGCCCCAGCTGTCCTGGAACTCACTATGTAGACCAGGCTGGCCTTGAACTCACAGAGATCTGCCCGCCTCTGCGTCCCGAGTGCTGGGATTAAAGGGCTGCGCCACTAGGCCTGGCCAGAATGATGTACTTTTACTGGCTCTCGCACATCCAATAACTGGAATGCGCGTTTGGGCTGGGTCCAACGCCCTTGAACACGCAAATTCTATTTTCCCCATTCTCCTGAGTTCGTTGACAATTTGATTGATTGTACAAGGTGAGCTGCGTTTTGTAAGAGTTTTGCTGGGCAAGTCCCCTGCCTTGCCACCAACTTGGTCATAGTTGATTAAACGCTGCAGCTATTCCTGTGTTTGTGGCCTCTAGGACTGAAGTGGGACCAGGCTGGTATTTTTGGTGATGAGGAAATCCTTTTTAGGGAGGTTTGGTGGTGGCTGAACTGGGACAGAGGTCACAGAGGGATGCCGTCAGAGAACCGGGGTCGGGAGGGGGGGTCGCGTTGCGGGGTTCCCACAGGGCGCAGCTCGCGAAGCGCGACTGAAGCTCTCGGAAGCTGCCGGCGATGCTCGACGCTCCCCAGAGGGGGGCACCCGGGAGCCGGCGCCTCCGGAGCCCGGACCCACGCGGGAAGGTCGAGCGCGCCGGGTGAGGTCACCGTTGCCATGGCTCCGGGCAGTGACGCGCGTCGGCACGTGACGCGCGGTTGCCATGGCGCCGGGCGCCCGGCGGCGCGGGAGCTCCGCCTCCCGGAGTGACGTGAGCCGGCACCCCCCTCTTTCCGCCCCCCCCCGCGCCCCCTCCCCCGCGGCCGTCTCCCCGCGGCCCCGGAGGTTTCACTGCACAACAAGATGGCGGCGGCGGCGGCGAGCGGAGCTGGCGGGGCTGCGGTGGCTGGAGCTGGGGGAGCCGGGCCGGCCGGCCGTCTTCTGTCTCCGCCTGCCCCGGGGCCCCCAGCCGCCCCCGCCGCGGTGCCCCCTCCGCAGCGTCCCGCAGCCCCAGCCTCCCGCGGGCCGATGCCCGCTCGCATCGGCTACTACGAGATAGACCGCACCATCGGCAAGGGCAACTTCGCGGTGGTCAAGCGGGCCACGCACCTCGTCACCAAGGCCAAGGTAGTGGCTCCGGGGGACCGCGCGGCCGCGGGGCTGCGGTGCCCCGGGGCGTCGCAGGGTGGCGAGGTCGGCGAGCTCCGCGACCCCCGGGGACGCAGGGGACCACTCACCCGGGCGAGGGACTGTCCCGGGTGGAGGTGGGAGAAGGCAGGGGCATGGCCGAGCCGCGGAAGGGAACTCCACGACAGGGAACTCCACGGCGGAGGGGCGCGGAGGGTATCCAGGCACCGAGCCACGGGGCATGGGAAGTGGGAGTCCTCGGGGCTGCAGAGGGTTGACTGGGAAGGAGGCGTTGGAACTCGGGGGGCCGGTTGCCTGCACGCGCAGAAGAGTCGGGAACCAGCAATTAGGAAATCAGGAGGGAATGACGGCAGGAGCTTGTGAAAAGTGGACAGGGCGACAGGGCATTGGGGAGACAGGCGCAAACTGGCAGACACAGGCTTCTTGAGGGGCCCCGGGACTGGGGCACGGACTGAGGGTGTGCAGTGGGTGCAGGGCACTGGGAGGTAAGAGGAACCTGGCACCTATGACAGAGCTAGCAATCCAGTTTGATCGTCTGAGACTGATAGATGGTGTCAGCCGAAGCCTGGGAGGGGGGCACTCTTAATTATTGGAGGCAGTGAAGAAAACAGGGAAGTGAAGGGGGAAATGGTTTTGTATGCCTGTAGGAAGGGGCCCAAGAACAGAGGGCTTGAGCAAGGGAAAGGGGCCCCTGGGCCATTCGGTGGCACTAGCTAATCAAGGGTTAAACAATTTGGGAGAGCAGGATTGCTGGTTATTTTTAGTTGTTGGAGGGTCTGGAATTGTGGGCTTTGTAGAGTCCAAGGTGGGCTTTGAGGAAGGAAGGGAAAGTTGGGATTGAGAAACCAGAGAATTGCACTCATTGGGCCCTTTGGTTCCCAAGGGATTTGAGGAGCAGTATTGGTGTAATTGGCCAAGGTCAATTAGGAAGCCATATATGTAGACACAAAATTCTTTTATTGACATAGAGGCAGTACTTTTACATAGTCTTCTTCATTGAGAATATTGAGGAGTCCTTTAGTTTTGTTGGAACCCACAAAGTCCATTTGAATTCCCAATTAAATTTCTTTGCTCAATGCTTCACTTGAATGAGTACTTTTTATGTAGTCATTCATGATATTTAAAACTGCAGTTTGAGTTTTTCCTCAGCCTGGAGAATGGAGAGCCTTCACAACTGCCACAGCTTCCTTCCCAAGCCACAACAGTTCCCCTCACCTCACCCTAGCCTCTGGATCTCATCACCTACCTTGTTTTGGCTTTTATGGCAGTCACTCCCTTTCAGAAGCCAAGGGACTTATCTGGGCCTTCTCTTCTGCTTGCTTGCAACCTGAAGTTCCTTCCTCTGCTCCTCTCTGTCAAAGACTACAAGGGGGCCTTTCTTACTAGGGTGACTGTGAAGAATTGATTGGTCAGTTTCACTTCCTCTGGATCGACCCTTTTAAGCCTTTTTGTCAGTTTTTATCAGAGGGCCTCAAGTCTTCAGAGTTGAATGGAATACTCAAGTGTAGCTTTTCCTGTTGCTACCCTGAGACCCTTCCCACAGTAGGCTGAGCCTGGACCCTGTGTGTCTCCTCACTGCCAGGCTGTTTCCAGCCCCATTTACTGTTAGCCAAGCCAGCCTTGTATTTACAATGTCCTTCGTTCCTTGTTTTGGTATTCCCCCCCCCTTCCCTTTCTCTTCTAAGTAATCATCTTGTGCTTCTGTGATTATTTTGCTCTGACCTCTGAATGGATATGCAAACTTAATTGGTTGTCTGGCTATGGTCTCTATGATTTAAAGAATATTGAATCTCCCAGCTCTCAGATAAACCAAAATATTGATAAAAAAAAATCTATGACAGTCAGGGTTGTTTTAGAAATGTAATTGCAAACAGTTGATTCTTGGCTTTATATATAAAAGAGACATTTCTATCTTCAGTAGTCAGCAAAGCCAGTGTCTAATTATGGCTAGTCTGCCCGCTTTCTAATTTGTGTGTATTTCATAGTTTTTCTCTGAGACATTGGTATCCTTTAGGACTGTAGCCTTTACAACATTGGCTTGTTTATAAACGGGTGTCACTGTTTATATTGGTTTTTATCTTTGATCATTTGTGGTGTGCAGTTATGCAATTTCAATATATGGAAATATTCAGACTCGAATGAGGCTGAAATGGTTTGGACAATGAGATGCATGTGTGAGGAGGCCACACCAGCATTCATCTATGCCTCTGTAGCAGTGTGCAGTTACAATGCCCTACCTTTTTTGCTCCTTAAATTACTCTGACGACATAAGTGAAGCTTAATTCATAAGGAGTTGTCATGTGTTCAGGGTGTACCGTGGCATATTTTGGCCTGCTCCCTGCTTATCTGAGTCCACTCTGGAAGGGGTCCTCCAACTCTGACAGCTTAGATGTACCCAGCAGCTGCTGACATACAGTACGATGGCCTATTAAGGCCTTGGTTTGGTTATATAATGGCAGGGAAAGTGCCTAGGTCCTGGAAGTTACTGGAGCTGCAGCTTCTGTTATTCAGGGAGGAGAATTTTCTCCCTGTGTCCTACAGTGTTTATCTTCTGCAGTCAAATCAAATGGAACCAGAGTTGTTCTTTCCCCATTTCTTTCTACAATAGGTTGTTATTATTATTATTATTTACTATTATTTTTGGTCTTTTTGAGACAGGGTCTCCCTGTAGCCCCAGCTGTCCTGGAACTCACTATGTAGACCAGGCTGGCCTTGAACTCACAAAGACCCGCCTGCCTCTGCCTCCCAAGTGCTGGGATTAAAGGTGTGCACCACCACACCCAGCCCCTTTCCCCTTTAATGTCACTGAATGATCTGGACTTTTCTATTATATATAAAAATCAGACCCAGGTAATAATTCCAGTGATACCTATGTTGGCTGAAGGAGGTTAGGTAATTGGTATTTTCTGAACATCAGGGAACTATTTATGACCACCTTTTCTTACACGACCCATTCCAAGGACAAAGAGACTAAAGTAAACTTCTTTATTGACTAAGCTACTGCACTCCATCCAACAATAAGTGAATCTGGCCTTTTCCCAAACTCTTAACTCTTAAACCTCCTAGAGTAGGACTCAGGTGAATAAAATAATGTAGCGAAAAGGAAATCTCTTACCATTCGGTGGTTGGGGACTTTTGCAGCACACGTCCATAAACTGACTTCAGGTTGGTAACACTGCAGTGCTTGGGTGAGTGTCTCTGCAGAACAGCTCCCAGGAGTGAATGTTCATGTGTGAGCTCCTCTTTGCCCCACCTGTTTTGATTGATGCCCAGCTTAAAGTTCTCTGTTCTTTTGGTAGAACAGTATAACGTATTAAGAGATTGTTTTTTTGAAAAGTAGGTTTTTTTCCTCTCAGATTACTTATAGTCTGTTTCCTGTGCCCAATTGTACCTTCAAGCTAGTTGGATGAATGGGAACAAGGAACAGATACAATTTTGTATACATTAAAAAAATCTATACATGACTATAAAAGCTTTGGGCCAAATATTTGCATGCTGTCATTTCAGTAAGTGTCTAGCAGTGGTGCCACTGGTTTCTGCTAAGAGCTTTCTGGCCTAAGACTGCTGGGTTTGAATCCTCTGCCCTTTAACACCAGGGCAATCTTGGGTTATAAGTTAAGCTCTGTGCTTAGTTTTCTTCATCTGTACAGTGGGATGATAGAAGTACTTGCCTCACATGTCTGAGTGTTAAGAAGCTAAATAATGTGTCAAGCTATTCTTATAGTGCCTGGCACTTAGGAAGCAGGTAGGAAATGTTATCACTCTCAAGTGCTGTAGTAAGACTGTCCAGACCCCTCTTTTTGCAGGGTACCCTGGGAAGAAGAGTTCATGACCTCTCTGCCGTTGGTTCCACATAGGTAGATGGGATCCTGATGATGCTCCTTCATGCAAGAAAAAAACAAAACAGCTTTCTGCTATTTCGGGTGCCACTCTGAAATTCCTGTGCCTAACACTCTGTAGCCCAGGCTGGTCTGAAACCCTTGGTAACCCTCTTGCCTCGGATTCCTTGGTGCTGGGATTATAGGTATGAGCCATACACTGGGCAATTGAAATTGTCATTTCAGAATAACTTTTTATTAAACTTCATTTTATTTTATTTCTTTAAAATTCTCTTAAACAAGAGACTTATCTAATGAAAATTAACACTGGCTTTTGCTTTGGGCCATCTCAAAATATGTGTGTATGTATGTATGTATGTATGTATGTATGTATATAATGTGTAGCAGTGATGGGGATTGAACCCAGCCTCTCACATGTTATGCAAGTATTGGTACCATTGAGCTATATACTCAGTCCCTTTCTTTTCCAGAGTCTTGCTATGTAGCCCAGATTGGTCTAGAACTCACTGTGTAGCCCATAGTAACCTTCAGCTTGAGATAATTCTGCTTTAGTCTCTCTTTTCTTTTTTTTTCTTTTTGAGACAGGGTCTCCCTGTAACCCCACCTGGCCTGGAACTCACTATGTAGATCAGGCTGGCCTCACAGAGATCCACCTGCCTCTGCTTCCCAAGTGCTGGTATTAAAGGGATACACCACCATGCCTCACCCTGCTCCTTATTTTTTAATTTCTGGAACAGGGTCTCACTATGTAGCTCAGTCTGACCTCCAGCTTGCCATCCTCCTAGCTTAGTCTGTGGAGTGCTGGGATTACAAGCATGAAGCCCTATACCTGGCTCAATTTTCATTGTTTGTTTTTGTTTTGGTAACTAATTTTTGTCAATTGATGATGGAACTATTTGTGTGCTTACAATTTCTGAAGAGATTCACTTAAATTCTGTGGAAAATATCTAAAAATGTTCCTAGAGTTTTAAGAACATATTTGCAGCTGAGTGTGCTGTCAGGCATGTAGTCCCAGCACCTTCTAGGCTGAGCTGGGAAGTTGAGTTTGAAGCAAGTTCTAGGCCATCTTGAGTTTCTTGGGGAAACTTGTCACAAACAAATAAACAAACCAACCAAATCCCTGTTATCCAAATCAGATCT